GAGACAGAAAGACACAGCTGTAAACGAGCAATGAGCAATTCCGACAACAGGCTTCCCTGCGCCTTCGAGATCAGAGATCACATCCCTCCCCGAGGAAACTGAGGGGGAGGGAGTTTGCTCGTCTACAGAAACAATCAATTGATTGATTGCTAAAGACCCCATCGATCACATCAGCCTCTCCACTCTGACCCGAACGGGCCCGGAAGAGAATCGGCGGTCCGCGTCGACACGGAGAAAGGTCTTCCTGCAAAAGACGCGACAGAGACAGAGACAGAGAGAGACCCGCAGAGCCCCCTCCTGTGACACGACACGCAGACGCTGTTCCCTGGCAGACTCATCTCGCCCCTCCCTCTAAGGGGCGCTGTTACCCGCGGCCTGCCGGTCACAGTGACTTGTGCCTCCTCTGTCCCCCCCCACCCTCACCCCCACCCCCAGGCCCAGCCTTGCCTCCTCCCCCAGGCCCAGCTGCTTCTGCCGCTCCTCCAGGGAGTACATGAGGTCTCCGCAGGTGCTCCACAGCTCCTCCATCTGGTCGGGGTTGTCCCGGAACACCTGGCTCTGCCACACCAGCGCCTTCAGCTTCTCCTGGAACACACACACACACAGACACACACACACACACACACACGAGAGGTCAAGACGCCGCGCCGCGCCGGGTCACGCTCACGCTGTCCAGCCGGAGGTGGGCGCAGTGCGTGGACGCAGCTGACGTGTGGAACTGTCCAGAACACTCGTGTTTCCTGCGGGCTGCTCCGTGTACACGCTGACAAGCGCACCGTCAGACAAGAGACACGCCCGACCCCCCCTCTCCTTCGGTCACGCACGCCCACCCCCCCTCGCCCACGGCCCCCGCTCGCCACCTGCCTGGGGGAGGTTGGGGATGAACTTGGTGTCCCCGAACGACTTGTAGTTGCCCATGTTGGAGTACACTCCTGCAGCGTAGACCAGGAACGCCTATGGCACAGAACGGCACAGCATTTACACCCCCAGAGAGAGAGACACCCCTACAGGGAGGCCATTTTCCGGGTCACCCCCAGGTATAGGTCTGCTGGTATTAGCACAACCAAGCCAGAAACAGTTTCCCGAAAGACTTCACATTTAAAGAACTATTTAGTCAAAGAATAAGCTTTCTGAGG